ATCTATGTGTTTTGCCTGCTTTATCTATGTATTTTTCTATTGCTCCTTTTAAGAAAAAATAATGACTTTTAATCTCATCTTTTGAAACTAAAATTCCTCTTTGACAGATACTAAGATTACAACCCAGTTCACATTTGCCTGGTTTGTCTTTTTATTTTTAATCTATCTATCTCTTTATGTTTGAAGTATGTATCTTGGTCAGACATGGTGGTTCATGTCTATAATCCAAGCACATGGGTAGGCCAAGGCAGGCAGATCACTTGAGGTCAGGAGTTTGAGACAAGACTGGCCAACATGGTGAAACCTTGTCACTACTAAAAATGCAAAAATTAGCTGAGCGTGGTGGTGGGAAACTGTAATCCCAGCTACTTGGAAGGCTGAGACAGGAGAATCGCCTTAACCTAGGAGGTGGAGGTTGCAGTGAGAGAGATCAGGCTACTACTCCAGCCTGGGCAACTCAAAAAAAAAAAAAAAAAAAGTATGTCTCTTAAAGTGAGTTTACTGTTGGATGTAATTTTTAAAAATCCAATTGGTGAGATTCACTTACTTACATTTTATGTTATTATTATATATTAATATTTAGTTCTATCCTCCATTTACTGTACATTCTTTTTTATTTTTAATCTCCATTTCTGCTTTTCATTAAATAGGCTGAATTATCTTCTGCTGGTTTAAATTGTATACATAATACTGTTTTCCTATGGCGGTAGCCCTTAACTTCAGACTCACACCCATGGGCTTAAGAGAGCTTCTCCCTCTCTACAGTTTGAACAAAAGCCCACGCAAAAGTTGAAGTTTGATTCTCAAAGAGTCAGGTGTTGATTGAATCAATGTTGCTAAGCAAGGGGTATTTGATCTTCAAAGGAAATACAGAGTGCCAGTCCCAAAAGAAGGGGAAATGGAGGCTAAGAGATTGGAAAACGGTATATGTTCACATCTTTCTTTTTTTTTCTTGTGACACTATAATCCTGGGGCAAGGATTCCTGGGCCAAATTCTGAAGACATAAGGCTGGGAGAGGAATAATAGTTTCTCCAAGGAAACAGATCAACTTAATGTATATCAGAGATGAGAAAGAACCTGCACTTAAACTAGTCACAATGGTCACCATGTAGCAGAATGGAAATTGGTAAATTCTCAATAAAGAGATTGGAATTTGTGCCTGATGAACTTGAGATCTTCTCCTAGGTCAAATTATATATAATCCTGTTAATCCTACCACAACTCCAAGAGGTAGGTCTTCTTACAACCTCCATGCTTTACGCAGGACTTTGAGGCTCAGAGAATTTAAGTGACCTGGCAAAAGTCACACATCTAACTCAAAGCAGAGGAGAAACTGGAGCCATGTTTGGCATCATTGCACCAAGCTTTCAGCTGTGTGCAGTCTGGCCAGTCTACTAGTAAGTTATGCTGCCTCAGGACTGTAGTCCTCTTTGGATGGAAACTGACTCCTAAGTCAAATATAATGCTGACATCTTGCCCACTCATTATTCTTGAGGAATGAAAATCAATTCTACGTGCACACAGCTGTCTGGACTAGGACTGGGAATATGACCCAAAGGCAAGGAACCCATGGGTTTGCCAATGACGTACAAAAGTGTCTTGGCTCCTAAAATATGAGTTGGACAAATCAATATTTCTGTCTCAGGAATTTGAATCAGGCAGCATGAAGTGATTGAGGCAATTAGCAGCAATAAAAACTATGACTAACAGGCTGTAAAGAGGGCGGCCTTGAGGTTGTGTAGGGGTGTGTGTGGGAGGAGATGGAGTGTGGGTCATGACAAGCCAAAGTGATGAAGAAGCAGAAATTATGAATGAACAGATCTATGAAGTAGAAAAGATAATATATGTATAGACAACAAATATTTCTAGAGTTCTTTCTATGAGCTGGAAACAGTGTTTGGCTCTGAACATAACGAAAGTGACTAAGACACAGCCTCTGCCTTCACAGCATTTAATTTTAGTGGGGAAGAGAGACAAACAACCAACCAAACAAATAAATAGTTACAATTTTTTTTTTTTTTTTCTGAGATGGAGTCTCACTCTGTTAGCCCGGCTGGAGTGCAATGGCATGATCTAGGCTTGCTGCAACCTCTGCCTCTCAGGTTCAAGCAATTCTTCTACCTCAGCCTCCTGAGTAGCTGGGATTGCAGATGCGCACCACCATGCCTGGCTAAGTTTTTTTGAGATGGAGTCTCATTCTGTTGCTTAGGCTGGAGTGCAGTGGTGCAATCTCTGCTTACTGCAGCCTCTGCCTCCTAGGTTCAAGCGATTCTCCTGCCTCAGCCTCCCAAGTAGCTGGGATTACAGACACCCGTTACCACGCCTGGCTAATTTTGTATTTTTAGTAGAGACTGGGTTTCACCATGTTGGCCCAGCTGGCCTTGAATTCCTGACCTCAAGTGATCCGCCCACCTCAGCCTTCCAAAGTGCTAGGATTACAGGCGTGAGCCACCACACCTGGCCAACAAATTGTTTTAAAGGATAAGAAAAAAACAAACATGAGGCCAGGATGGAACATATCAGGGAGCAACCTACTTAAGAAATAGCATGGTTCTAATTAAAGGTGTCCAGCTTTAAAAAAAAAAAATTTAATAATGATTTAAAGAAGAAATGGCGGGAAGAGTCTCTCAGGACAGAAAATTAAAATGAGACCTGAAGAATGAGAAGGATCCAGCTGTGTGAAGATCAGAGAAAAGAATATTTGACGTTTTTCAGAATAGGGGATTTAAAAGAAAAAAAAAAAAGAATATTTGAGATAGAGGATGTTTAAAGCCTGCTGGCAGGAAAGAGCTTATCATGTTCAAGGAAGATGATGGGGGTTGGGGGGCAAAAGCTATGTAGATGGAGCAAAGGAAAAGAAAGGAAAGCATGAGATGAGTTTGGAGGTGTGGGCATGTGACAGGTCACACAGGCCTCTGCAGGCCTTGGTAGGGAGTTGGGAATTTTGTTCCAGTGTAGTGAGAACCCATCATATATTTGATGCTAGGTAGTGACATGATCTAGCATAGGATGGCAGATAAGTGTGAAGGCTAAGAAGTCAGCCTGGGTTCAAACCTAAGTTCTACCATTTACTTGCTGTGTGTCCAAGGCTGTGTGACCTTGGGCAAATTAATCTCTCTGTGCCCTAGTTTCCTTATCTGTAAAACTGAGGTAGATTTGGGTTTTACTTCATGGAGTTGTTGTATAGATTAGATGTATGTAAAACAGTTCCTGGCACGTAATAGACACTAATAAATGTAAGCTTGTATTATTACTTTGTTTTTAGAAAGGTCATCGTAGCTAGTGTATGGAGAATGAACATGGGGGATTAAAAAAAGAATAGATGAGGGGAGACCAGTGATGAGGCTCATGAGTAGCCTGGGTAAGAAATGATGAGCGAAGTGATGGTGGAGAGAAGTGGACTAATTTGCTGTAATTTTGGAGGTAAAATTTTCATATTTTGCAGATGGATTGGACATGGGGGTTAAGGAAAACAGAAGAATCAAGAATAACTTCTAGGCTTCTGGCTAGACTAACCAGGGGGATGGAGGTGACATTTACTGAGATTAGGAGCCTGGGCAAAGTAGTTTTGGCAGGGAAATTAGGAGTTCTATTTTAGACATGTTAAACCTGAGATGTCTTGAGACATCCAAGTGGATGTCTATTAGACAGTTGGTTATACATTTTGGAGACCAGAAGAGAGGTCTTAGATGAAGATATAAATTTGGAAGTCATTAGCATGATCAGCATTTGAAGACACAGAAATAGTTGAGACCCTCTAGGAAGAATGTCTGTGAAGGGAGCCAAGAAGAGTCCTGAGGAGCAGCAGATTTTAGGGTGGTGGAATAGACAAGGAGAGTGACGACAGATCTTCGAAGAGAGAGTAAACTAAAAGAATGTGGTATCACAAAAACCAACAGAGGAGAATGTTTCAAGAAAATCAGAGAGGTCAGCTTAGTGTACAAAGGTCAAATAAGACTAAGAAAAATATTGGTCACTGATGATCTTGGCAGAAGTAGGGTCAGTGAAGTGGGCAGTCTAAGTAAGAATTAAGTAAGTTGAAGAATGAATTAGAGGTGTGCTTGCTTTGACAGCACATATGCAAAAAAATGGAACAATGCAGAGAAAATGGACTTGACTCCTACACAAGGTTGACACATATCTGTGAAGCATTCTATATGTTTTTTGTATGGATTTTAATTTTGTGACAATGTTTACCTTTACATATTTAAAAAGAGAATTAAATCAACAAGAATGGAAGGGATCCTAAAACTGAATATGAACAGAAAAAAGTGAACAGAACTATATTTAAATAAGTAATATAATCACTCTGAAGGAAAAAAAAAAACTAATCCAAATACTTTTGAACACAGTACTTGAATATACACCTTCTGTCTAAAAACAAAACAAAACTGCAAACCAATCTTGAACCCTGTTTAGTAGGTTGTTTTTGTTAGCAGCATGGATGTAGCAATTCTATTTTGCATATATCATAATTTTTTATTATTTATTTATTTATCTATTTTTGACATGGAGTTGTGCTCTGTCGCCCAGGCTGGAGTGCAGTGGCACCATCTTGGCTCACTGCAACCTCCACCTCCCAGGTTCAAGCATTTCTCCTGCTTCAGCCTCCCGAGTAGCTGGGATTATAGGCGTGTGCCACCATGCCTGGCTAATTTTTGTATTTTTTAGTAGAGATGGGGTTTTTCCATGTTGGCCAGGCTGGACTTGAACTCCTGACCTCAAGTGATTTGCCTATCTCAGCCTCCCAAAGTGCTTTGGATTACAGGTGTGAGCCATCATGCCCGGTCTATCATTTTAAATAAATGAATAAAGACATTGATGTTGTTGAGAGCCAGAGTTTTTACTGTGAGAAAAAGGAGATGCAAATAAGGAGTAGGAGAAAGAACACTGTGGTGTTAAATTGGAATTAAAGTATCAGTAATGAATTCTTAATTTAAAATGGTTGAACAGGGATGGGTGCAGTGGCTCATGCTGCAATACCAGCACTTTGGGAGGCCAAGGTAGGAGGATTGCTTGAGGCCAGGAGATTGAGATCAGCCTGGGCAACATAGTGAGACCCCATCTCTGTAAAGAATTTAAAAATATTAGCTGAGTGTAGTGGCCTGTAGTCCTAACCTATTCCAGAGCCTGAGATGAAAGGATCACATGATCCCAGGAGTTCAAATCTGCAATGAGCCATGATAGCATCACTGCACTCCCACCTGGGCAACAGAGTGACATCCTGTCTCTGTTAATAATAATAATAATAGCGGTGGCTGGCAAGATGGCCTAATAGGAATAACTCCGGTCTGCAGCTCCCAGCGAGATCAACACAGAAGGCGGTTGACTCCTGCGTTTCCAACTGAAGTACCCAGCTCATGTCAATGTGACTGTTAGACAGTGGGTGCAGCCCCTGGAGGGTGAGCCAAAGCAGGGTGGGGTGTCGCCTCACCCAGGAAGTACAAGGGGTTGGGGAATTCCCTCCCCTAGCCAAGGGAAGACATGAGGGACTGTGCCATGAGGAATGGTGTTCTCCAGCCCAGATGCTACACTTTTGCCATGGTCGTCGCAACTCACAAACCAGGAGATTCCCTTGGGTGCCTACACCACCAGGGCCCTGGGTTTCAAGCACAAAACTGGGCAGTCATTTGGGCAGACACCGAGCTAGCTGCAGGAGTTTTTTTTTCATATCCCAGTGGTGCCTGGAGCACCAGCAAGACAGGACCATTCACTCCCCTGGAAAGGGGTCTGAAGCTAGGGAGCTAAGTGGTCTAGCTCAGCGGATCCCACCCCTATGGAGCCCAGCAAACTAAGGTCCATTTGCTTGAAATTCTCACTTCCAGCACAGCAGTCTGACATTGGAGCTTGGTGGGGGGAGGGGCACATGCCATTACTGAGGCTTGAGTAGGTGGTTTTTCCCTCACGATGTAAACAAAGCCACCAGAAGTTCAAACTGAGTGGAGCCCACCACAGTTTGGCAATGCCATTGTAGGCAGATTGCCTCTCTAGATTCCTCCTCTCTGGGCAGGGGATCTCTGAAAGAAAGGCAGCAGCCTCAGTCAGGAGCATATAGGTAAAACTCCCATCTCCCCAGGACAGAGCACCTGGTGGGTGGGATGGCTGTGGGCACAGCTTCAGCAGACTTAAATGTTCCTGCCTGCCAGCTCTGAGGAGAGCAGTGGATCTCCCAGCACAGTGCTTGAGTTCTGCTAAGGGACAAACTGCCTCCTCAAGTGGGTTCCTGGCCCCCGGGCCTCCTGATGGGGAGACACCTCCAGCAGGGGTTGACAGACACCTCATACAGGAGAGTTCTGGCTGGCATCTGGTAGGTACCCCTCTGGGACAAAGCTTCCAAAGGAACAGGCAGCAATCTTTGCTGTTCTGCAGCCTCTGCTGGTGATTTCCAGGCAAACAGGGTCTGGAATGGACCTCCAGCAAACTCCAGCAGACCTACAGCAGAGGGTCCTGTTAGAAGGAAAACTAACAAACAGAAAGGAATAGCATCAACATCAACAAAAAGAACATTCACACAAAAACCCCATCCGAAGGTCACCAACATCAAAGATAAAGGTGGATAAATCCACGAAGATGAGGAAAAATCAGCACAAAAAGGCTGAAAATTCCAAAAACCAGAACACCTCTTCTCCAGAGAATCACAACTCCTCACCAGCAAGGGAACAAAATGAGATGAAGAATGAATTTGATGAACTGACAGAAGTAGGCTTCAGAAGGTGGATAATAACAAATTTATCTGAGCTAAAGGAACATTTTCTAACCCAATGCAAGAAAGCTAAGAACCTCGTAAAAAGGTGAGAGGAATTGCTAACTAGAATAACCAGTTTAGAGAAGAACATAAATGACCTGATGGAGCTGAAAAACATAGCACAAGAACTTCATGAAGCATACACAAGTATCAATAGCCAAATCAATTAAGCAGAAGAAAGGATATCACAGATTGAAGATCAACTTAATGAAATAAAGCATTGAAGACAAGATTAGAGAAAAAAGAATGAACAAAGCCTCCAAGAAATATGGGACTATATGAAAAGACCAAACCTATGTTCGATGGGTGTACCTGAAAGTGACGGGGAGAATGGAGACAAATTGGAAAACACTCTTCAGGATATTATCCAGGAGAATGTCCCCAACCTAGCAAGACAGGCAAACATTCAAATTCAGGAAATACAGAGAATATCACAAAGATACTCCTCAGGAAGAGCAACCCCAAGACACATAATCATCAGATTCACCAAGGTTGAGATGAAGGAAAAAATGTTAAGGGCAGCCGGACAGAAAGGTTGTGTTACCCACAAAGGGAAGCTTATCAGACGAACAGAGGATCTCTCTGCAGAAACCCTACAAGCCAGAATAGAGTGGGGAACAATACTGAACATTCTTAAAGAAAAGAACTTTCAACCCAGAATTTCATATCACCAAACTAAGCTTCATAAGTGAAGGAGAAATAAAATCCTTTACAGACAAGCAAATACTGAGAGATTTTGTCACCATCAGGCCAGCCTTACAAGAGCTCCTAAAGGAAACACTAAATATGGAAAGGAAAAACCGGTACCAGCCACTGCAAAAACCTACCAAATTGTGGAGATCATCGACATTATGAAGAAACTGCATCAACTAACGGGCAAAATCATCAGCTAGCATCACAATTGCAAGATCAAATTCACACATAACAATATTAACCTTAAATGTAAATAGGCTAAATGCCCCTGTTAAAAGACACAGACTGGCAAATTAGATAAAGAGTCAAGACCCATCGGGGTGCTGTATTCAGGAGATCCAGCCCATGTACAAAGACACGCATAGGCTCAAAATAAAGGGATGGAGGAATATTTACCAAGCAAATGGAAAGCAAAAAAAAGCAGGGGTTGCAATCCTAGTCTCTGATAAAACAGACTTTAAGCCAACAAAGATAAAAAAAGACAAAGGGCATTATATAATGGTAAAGGGATCAATGCAACAAGAAGAGCTAACTATCCTAAATATATATGCACCCAATACAGGAGCACCCAGATTCATAAAGCAAGTTGTTAGAGACCTACAAAGAGACTTAGACTCTCACACAATAATAGTGGGAGGCTTTAACACCCCACTGTCATTATTAGACATATCAACGAGACAGAAAATTAACAAGAATATTCAGGACTTGAACTCAGCTGTGGACCAAGTGGACCTAATAGACATCTACAGAATTGTCCACCCCAAATCAACAGAATATACATTCTTCTCAACACCCCATCACGCTTATTCTAAAATTGACCACATAATTGGAAGTAAAACACTCCTTAGCAAATGCAAAACAACAGAAATCATAACAAACATTCTCTCAGACCACAAGTGCAATCAAATTAGAACTCAGGATTAAGAAACTCACTCAAAACCGCACAACCGCATGGAAACTGAACAACTTGCTCCTGAATGACTACTGGATAAAAAATGAAATTAAAGCAGAAATAAATAAGTTATTTGAAACCAATGAGAACAAAGACAACGTACCAGAATATCTGGGACACACCTAAAGCAGTGTTTAGAGGGAAATTTATAGCACTAAGTACCCACAGAAGAAAGCAGGAAAGATATAAATTTGACACCTTAACATCACAATTAAAAGAAGTAGAGAAGCAAGAGCAAACAAATTCAAAAGCTAGCAGAAGACAAGAAATAACTAAGGTCAGAGCAGAACTGAAGGAGATAGAAACACAAAAAAAACCCTTCAAAAAATCACTGAATCCAGGAGCTTTTTTTAAAAAAAAAAAGATTAACAAAATAGACCAGTAGCCAGACTAATAAAGAAGAGAGAAGAATCAAATAGACAATAAAAAATGATACAAGAGATATCACTACTGATCCCACAGAAATTCAAACTACCATCAGAGAATACTATAAACACCTCTATGCAAATAAATTAGAAAATCTAGAAGAAATGGATAAATTCTTGGACACATACATCCTCCCAAGACTAAACTAGGAAGAAGTTGAATCCCTGAATAGACCAATAATAACAAGTTCTGAAATTGAGGCAGTAATTAATAGCCTACCAACCAAAAGAAGCCCAGGACCAGATGAATTCACAGCTGAATTCTACCAGAGGTACAAAGAGGAGCTGGTACCATTCCTTTTGAAACTATTCCAAACAATAGAAAAAGAGGGACTCCTCCCTAACTCA